AACACTTTAACCATGAGGCGCCTCACCATCCCTCGTTTATCTGATGAAGAAGCACATGAAGATAGTAGTATCTAGTCTGTAGCACATTTTTTTTTCCATGGTTGAAATTTTAAGTCTCTTCCTCACTGGAAATTCCTGGGAAGACACTGTAGATATGATGTCATTTTTGCTATGAGTGAGTGAGTGAGTTTAGTTTTACACCACACTCAGCAATATTACAGCAGAGACCATATAATAGATAATATTATATGGTCTCTGATTACAGCTATTTGGTGGTAGTCATCAAATAATTGAGTCTGGACCAGACAATCCAGTGATCAACAACATGAGCATTGATATACGCAATTGGGATGCGATGACATGTGTCAACCAAGTCAGCGAGTCTGACCACCCCATCCTGTTAGTTGTCTCAACAAACCTGGACACAATTCCAGGGTAGATGTGTCATTGTGGACAGGGTTTTGTCACATTTATTTGTATAATTTCCAGCACTGTTCTAGCTGTATGCCAGGGTGGCCTGGTAGCCCAGTGGTTAAAGCGTTCGCTCATCACACCAAAGGCCTGGGTTCGATTTCCCACATGGGAACAATGAATGAAGCCCATTTCTGGTGTCCTCACCATGATATTGCTGGAATATTACTAAAAGAGGCTTAAAACCCAACTCACTCACTCACAAGCTGTCACTCATTCTCAATAAATCGTTGCATTACTGTCGCCGACAGTTTTCTTTTAAATTTATGGCTATGAACTTGTTATCGTATGTTTTATAAAAGCACAACAACTTCATGATTCCATGCAACATAAGTTAGATTTTCCTTGTTGTCTTCAAACTTTTCAAATTTGCTTTTAATGACCAGTTTTGTAATGTACGTTACTGTCGCCAGGCAACATTGAACGCTTTTGCAGATTTCTAAAATCGTGTTCACATTAATAACTCATATGACTAAGGTGAATACATTTTCCCTAATATATAAAGAATCATTTATATTCATGGGAGGCTCCAGTGAAAGCTGATACTTCATTTTATTACTCTCCATACCTGTGTCGCTTGGTTTTTCATAAAACAACTAAACATATATGAATAAGGAAAATGCTCTCATTTGAATGACAAAAAAAGACTGTTAAATGTTGTAATAATATTGCCTTGTGAATGATAAAACCGTAAATAAGACCATTATATAGCAAAACATCATCGTAATGAAAATATTGGACATCAAAAGTGAAAATCTTAAGGGTTATGGATAAGAATGCAATGTACGTTACCTACCACATACCAGGAAAACAAAGTTGTACATTTTGCACACTATGTGGTTTCAATGTGTTAGAATGTGAAAGTCATGAACAGTGTAAATTTGAATAAAATAGCATCTGCAATTTTGTGTTTTGTTACTTATTCTGAATATTAGTAATGAGCGTTACTGTAATATGCGTTACTGATAAATCTGAAACTCTTGGAGAAACACGGATTTATGCTGTAACAGCTTTGCTTCTGACATGTGATCAGAGCGACGCCATTTTCTCACGTCACGTTGGCGTCGAATGAAGGTTGAAAGATCAACATTTATGAAGTTGCAAAGCACTCCAAGTAAGTTTGAATTGTGGTGTATTTTGTGGGAGTTAAAGAATAGTAACATATATCCACATTTTAGCGAACGTGAACGTTTTTGATACATAACAGGCGGTAAATATACATAAATATATGAAAGTTGTCATTTGTTAACAAACACTCCATGTTCAATTGCTAACTACATAGGGAAATGTACGTTACCGATGGTAGCGATACATTACCAAAATCTTATCAGCTAAAACATCATGAAATGGAATAGTTTTCTTGATTGTTAAGCAAATTACTCATAGTGATGTTAAAGGTTAAAGCATGTTTTGTGTTGAAATCACGTTTGTCAAAAATATTTGAATTTACTGATGAATTGTGATGAATGAAAAGTGCTCTAGAAAACAAATGCTTAGAATTATTAATGTAGCTTGTTAAAGTGATAAAACGTGATTAAAACGACAATGGTTATAGTAATTTCGGAATTGTAATTCAAGGCAAGTATAATTTTAATAAGAATTAGCTCCACTATTGTCTAATTATGTTCTACCTTTGGAACAGTAGTCATCACAGCGATGGTAACGTACATTTCTACACAGGTAACGTACATTTCTCTTGCATTAACTCATGTTTTATTTTCGTTATTTCACAGAAATGACAAAGACACGTGCTGAAATCCAAAAAGCCTATACACCTCATGTTGTTTTGAAAATCATTTCTCTTGTGTTTTGTACATATGTGGTAATAAGAAACACCATTTCCAAAGGTGTATGTATAAAAAGAATAGTTAAAAAGCACAAATCCTTCAATAGGAACCCAAATCACGTACATTTCAGGAGAAGTTTATGTGGTATTTACGTCCCAAATGAGATGCTAAGTGATGAAAAATTGAAAGCGAGTTGTATCCTGTTCCTTTTGGAAAATGTTACAATAGGTATTGAATATTTTGAAAACGAAAGACTCTTTATTATAAATATACTTTGGTTTTTCTAAAGCTGCCTATATCAATTGCAACGATTTATTGAGAATGAGTGTGTATGCCAGCACAGACATCTTGTACCCAAATGGAGCATCAGACCCTCTGGTTTGTCAGTATTTTGAATGAAGTAGCCCAGAGGCCCTGATAACACTCATGTGCCTTTGATACAACCCAAGCAGCTATGGCAATGGAAAGGCTTTTACTGCTACATGTAAAGACATACGTTTGTTCCAACATTAAATCCTTGGGAGCTAAGAAAAAAACACTGACATATCAGTGTAAAATTAGTCAACACAATGTCATAAAGTCCAGCCATATTCTTCCCAATGAATTACATTGGCCTGTGTAGATAATCTATCTGCCCTGTTGCCATATAATGCGTGATTAAATTAGCATGTTGTTCCTCTGAGATTAGTGTAATTGTCAGGTGACCATACTGTGACAGGTGATTGACATGTGTAAATATTGATTGATGTGATCAATTGCGCTCCCATGCTGACCCTCTGTTGGCAGCAAACTTTGTAATGCTCTTAAGGCTGTTCTGGGATGAAATGAACACAAGATAAGAAACTATGTTTATCTGCATGTGGGCAGCTTCGGCAGTGGCAAATGGAAGTGGCAATTTGTGATTATCTTGGTAAAGGGAATTGTGATAACGGTATTTAGGAGGTATGAAATTTGTTCAATGAAATATTTCATCCATGGTTTGTCAAGGGCTTGTATAATGTTTCAGGACCGAAAACACAATCATTTGGTTTGAAATTGACATTTATCTGATGAATGAATGAGTGGGTAATATTTTATGCCACTTCAAATATTCAAACAAGACAGCCACCAGTGATACAAGGAATGAGCTTCACACATTGCACCCATAAAGGGAATCGAACCCAAGTTTGGGGCATGTCAAGCAAACACCTTAACCATGAGGCCACCATCACCATCCCACATTTTCTTTTTCAATGATGAAGTTTTAAGTCTCTGTCACTGGACATTCCTGGGAAGACATCCTAGATATGATGACATTCCTGGGAAGACATCCTAGATATGATGACATTCCTGGGAAGACATCCTAGATATGATGACATTCCTGGGAAGACATCCTAGATATGATGACATTCCTGGGAAGACATCCTAGATATGATGACATTCCTGGGAAGACATCCTAGATATGATGACATTCCTGCTATGACGATACATCATATTTTCAAACTCAACAATCTTAGTGTAATATGTTTTCATATATGTGGCCGAGTGGATAGAGCATTTGCTCAGAGAGTGGCAAGTCCGTGGTTCTATTCCTGGCTGCACCATACCAAACTGCCTGACATTAAGGACGTAAAACAAGGACTGGTCAGCTCGTATGGAGTGTGTTGTTCTGACTGGGGTATCCATGTATAACTGTGCCATGGTATCTCAGTAGGCCAGGACTATAAAACTGAATGCAGTGTTAAACTCGATTTCACCTCACCTCATGTGATACTATCAAATTCATTCATGCGGTTTGGTCTTGTGTCCCCATCACTATTCTTTGGGTTGGTGGTAGATTTGGTGGTAAGTGTTTACCGATTCACTATGTTTGCTGGCCTACCATACACAGAAAGTATGCCGGATATGCTCAGTGTGACACACAAACCAGTGGTTCATAGCATGATCCATCCCATCAGTGGACAACACACTGTCAGTCAGCTCACTTATTATTATTTTTATATGGGTATTTATATAGCGCTATAGTCTATCCCATCTACATGCATGCTCAAAGCACTTTGGACCCGTGAAGATCTGGGGTAGAATAGGTCTTCAGCAACCCATTCTTGTCATAAAAGGCGACTATGCTTGTCGTAAAAGGCGACTAACGGGATCGGGTGGTCAGGCTCGCTGACTTGGTTGACACATGTCATCGGTTCCCAATTACGCAGATCGATGTTCATGCTGTTGTTCACTGGATTGTCTCGTCCAGACTCGATTATTTACAGACCGCTGCCATATAGCTGGAATATTGCTGAATGCGGCGTAAAACTAAACTCACTCACTCAAAGCACTTTGTTTTTTCCCTCGAGCACTTGATGTCAATCTCAACTCCCTGGGGATCATACAACTCGTGCAGCCACTAGGCGCACCAAGTTAATGTGGCTTTCCCATCCTTACTGTGAACCACATTTTAATTAGCCCTTCAGAAGAAACAAATCAATATTAAAGCCTGAGGAATCAGCATCAGCCTTTAAAAAAATTATTATCAAATCTTTTTCCACTACTGCTTTTTGTTTGAACATACATTACATAATCAGTTGGTCTTTTACATCTGCTGAATATTCAAAACTGTCAACTGTATCATCAGAGCCAGGAATATGTGTTTACATACTTGGATGTATTTTCTGACTTTCAAATCCATTCACAGAAATGTTTCAACTAAGACGTTGATATCAATTCTTTATTCATACCAATGTTGAAATATGACATATCAATTGTTGTTATTATTGTTAATTGTTATAATTTAGTGAACTGTCCCATGTATTTAAATAACTTGTAAACAAAACAAAATGGAATATCATTTCATCTCAGAATTACCCAGTATACACCAAGTCAATTTATGGTTAGATGTAAGCCAAACTTATCCTTTGATAAAAAAACATGCAAAGTTTGACAAGAACAAACTTCTACGGCATCAACAGCAAGACACATCAAAGAGGAATAACTCTGCAAAAAAAAAATCACCCCAAGATGTAGTCTCGAGCACCCTGGTTCTGCTGCAGCTACTGGAGAATTCCCCGAGTCCCCATCCAATCAAGTCTGTCTCAATCCTTCCGGCTACGTGGGAATTGATCATTTCCAATTTTGTGCTAAGTGAGAGAACACCCCACTTCGACTACGTCTACCATGTCGCTTTTTGCAATATTTTTTCAAGACGTCAACATTAAAACATCAATCTTAGCCAATACCACAAAGTTCTCATAAAAGTGGTTTCCCAAATCAACATCTACAAGCATTTTGAAAATGCAATAAAAAATAGCATTCTTAAAACATATACCTCAAAGTCCTGATATCTAGTGCAAGGGTATGAAATGAGTGCTATCCATTCCTAGCAGACTTTGTTAAAAAAACTCCTTTTAAGTGTTGTTAGCCAGCACGTAAAGTATGGTAAATAAAATAATGAAGAGTCCACATTAACTCCCTGGAGCCTGACCTGTATAATTGACACAACTTTGATGTCATCTTACACTGCCAAGAAGCACCGATCTCAGGGAGTGAGGCATCTCTCTAGGGGGTGGGGCATGGTGGCAACATGGTCCTTCCTGGAGCCCTGAAACACATGTGGGAAGATTTAGGTTTGCTTCCAAACAGGAATTTAAAGGCCTAATATCCTAAAGCTATTATTTTAAAAAGATGTATATTCGAAAACAATTTCACAAATAAACTGAAAATTAAAGGCATATTTTCCAGCTTTAACTCAATCAAAATGTTTTGAACATGTACGAAAGTATTTTCAAAAATAAAAATGTTCACCATTCCTGAATGCCAAATGCAGTGGAACAATCAGTATTTTGATGAGGTGGGTGAGTGTGTGCAGGGTTTAACACTGTATGGAACAATTCTTGCATTACATCATGGATAAACAAGAAGCAAAGCCCTAAGTGCTGCAGTTCACGGATGCCCTAAGTGCTGCAGTTCACGGATGCCCAAAGTGCTGCAGTTCATGGATGCCCTAAGTGCTGCAGTTCACGGATGCCCTAAGTGCTGCAGTTCATGGATGCCCAAAGTGCTGCAGTTCACGGATGCCTAAAGTGCTGCAGTTCAAGGATGCCCAAAGTGCTGCAGTTCAAGGATGCCCTAAGTGCTGCAGTTCATAGATGCCCAAAGTGCTGAAGTTCACGGATGCCAAAAGGGCTGCAGTTCATGGATGCCCAATTGCTGCAGTTCAAGGATGCCCAAAGTGCTGCAGTTCATGGATGTCCAAAGTTCTGCAGTTCAAGGATGCCCAAAGTGCTGCAGTTCATGGATGCCCAAAGTGCAGCAGTTCACGGATGCCCAAAGTGCTGCAGTTCACGGATGCCCTAAGTGCTGCAGTTCAAGGATGCCCAAAGTGCTGCAGTTCAGTTCAAGGATGCAGTTCAAGGAAAGTGCTGCAGTTCACGGATGCCCCGTTCACGGATGCCCTAAGTGCAGCAGTTCACGGATGCCCAAAGTGCAGCAGTTCAAGGATGCCCAAAGTGCTGCAGTTCAAGGATGCCCAAAGTGCAGCAGTTCACAGATGCCCGAAGTGCTGCAGTTCACGGATGCCAAAGTGCTGCAGTTCATGGATGTAGACTTAGAATCACAAAGAGCTTATGGACTAAGGAATATTATCAGACTGAATATAGGATCCAAACCCATGAAAACAACATTCTTGCTGCTAATGGATGCAGCTCAAGATGTGAAGGTTGTGACATCTTCATCAACTTAGCCAGTGGAGCCCACTATGATACAGCATGATTCAACTGAGTGTTTCTATGATCAGTTCCTTCCGAGATAACCGAGTTGACATAAGTACCACATTCATAGGAATTTGTCATCAATACAATCAATACAATTCCATGGTTGTATCTTCCAGAATATCATACAATCACTGTGAGTGATTCATTTATATAATTTTCACCATTTTACCATGCCCAATGGAATCTGTTTTGACAAATATTTGAGACTGAATATTGCTTGGCAATGACATTTTGAACAACATGAAGTCAAAAAATAATATATTACAATCTCTTTCTTAAGTACCGCCATGCTGAGAATGAAATAACTTCATAAAATATGAATAAACATGTACAAGTTGGAATTATCTTCGGTAGTATTGAGTGTACATGAGTGAGTGAGTTTAGTTTTACGCCCTTTTATGCTATATTAAAGCAATATCAGGACACCAGAAATTGGCTTCACACATTGTACCCATGTTGGGATTCAAACCGGGGTTTTCTGCATGATGAGCCAACACCTTAACCACTAGGCTATCCCACTGAACCTGTGTGGAGATGAGGTTCCCTGCTCATGGCTTGACTGCGGCAATATCAAGAGAGGCACCAAGAAGGGGCCTAAAATAACAGTACTCACTCAAATTGTAAAAGTAAACACTCGACTCTATACACACATCATAAAATCATATCCTTTGTTCTGATTTTCACATTCCCGTTGCAGATTTACATCCAAACCATGAATGAACAACAAACAAATGAGTTTCACATGAAATAAATTACACAAACTATTTCTTACATTCTCATAAAAACATTGCCCTTTCAGAAGAAAAATAATCCCAGGATAAAAACATTGCCCTTTCAGAAGAAACATCCTCCTTGATCTCTTTCCCATTGACTCATATCCATTAGAAAATAGTCTGTTTGCCAACACACAGGATATATATAACACGAAGATTGTGCAGGAAAAACACCTTGTTGTATTATCCTACTCATGTAATTGCATTTTTTCTCGTGGGGGATCGTTGGAACAGCCAAAAGAAATACTCTTGCATCAGTGAGGAATGATGTCGGAAAGTAAGTACATCTGGTCTGATCGTTAGCTTTGCCACATTGACTCTTTTCACCTAGGTGAGGGATTATGAAGTAATGTTTTATGACTATTGAGAGGTATGTCTTGTGAGAAATTCACCCATTAAATGGCTGAGTTAAAAATGTCAGAAAGGCTTGAATGGTGTGCTGTTGATGGATGTGATGTAGTTTCATTCATTCCTTTGCCTCAGTGGTTGTGGATGGATTGTTCAATCATTTCTCAAGATGACCCTTCACCTATGTTTCCAGGTTGTCGTTTTGTCCATTCATCATTCAATCTTTAAAAGTGTAACCATCATCCTTTCATCTGTATGTCCATTTGTTTGTCTCCGCTCGAATGCTTCATCTATTAATAATTCATCAAAGCATTTATCCATCTATCCATTTATTTGATCCTTCTAGTATATCCGTAATAGTATACCCATTCATGTGTTGTCCTTCAATTTCATTCCACACATGTTCACCTTCTATCAATTCATTGTTTATTTCCATCTTTGATTCATCATCCATGCATATATCTATTCATTCATACTTACATCCATATATTCGTTTTATTCATGCATGAATCTATCTTTCATCTTGTGATCAGTCCATCTGTTCAATGATTTCCATTTTGGCATTTATTCATTCTTGGATTCTGTTCTGTAATGTTGTTACCTATTAATTAGTCTGTGTGTTTATGTCACTTCTGTGCTTTATCTTCTGTTGTTCTGGGCATTGCGGTAGCCTAGTGGTTAAAGTGTTCGTCTGTCATGCCAAAGACCCGGGTTCAATTCCCCACATGTATACAATGTGTGAAGCCCATTTCTGGTGTCCCCTTCATTATATTGCTGGAATATTGCTAAAATTGGCATAGAATTAAACTCACTCTCCTGTTGTTTTTGTTTGTTGTTGCCAGACTGTTGCCATACATGTACGTCTTTATGTGCCTTTGGCACAAGAATTAAAGACAATCAAAAACAAAGAAAAATCTGAGATGGTTTTATCACTTTACATTTATAGCACTTTCTTTTACAGTCTCAAAACATGCTTCTTAAAGATGTTTCAAAATTAATGAACGGTTATCCAAGATTATGTGCAACAGCAACAATAAATTCCTATATAAAGAATCCAAAATGCATATTTAATTTGACAAATTCAAGCCATGTAATATATGTGACTGCTAGTTTCGACCTCATCTTGTCTGAAATAGCATCATTATAAAAACGAATTGGTCTAGGCATTGTCAGAACCAATTATCAATGAGGCACTGAAAGATGTAATGAGTAAAAAGCCTGCATCACTCCGAGATCAATTACATGATTCATGAATATAGACATGGTTTCTGCCTTAATGACAAGCATGGTATAGCATCACTTTCCCTGTCAGGCTGTCTGGACGATGTGTCCTCAGGTTGATAACACGGTCTGGCCTATTGTATTTCACAGGACACTTTGATCCATTGTGGAAAGGGGCTTCATATCCTGTCAAAATGCTGGTAATCAATCAAAGTGTGATAAAATCTTATAATGTTTCCCATTTCAATCCATAAACAAATATTGATTTCGAGTTTTCATTTCTTAACGGGTATAGGGATGCTATAGACATTGCCTAATGTTGTTTTGGGAATGGTGTAATTGATTTGGGAATGGGAGCTGCGACAGGAACATGTGGTCTCAGGATATGGACTTTTAAATATTGTCATGGTTTTATTGCAGTTTGTGTTGACTGTATGACATGTGTGATGTGAAGCAGCACATGAGCACATCTCTTTGATGTGATGTGTAAATCATGCATATACATATCATGCAGTATTGTACAGATATAGCATTCAGTGTTACATCTTTATCATACATAATGCATTGATGACCGTATATAACAAACATGCAGAATTGAACACACACACAGAACATGGCTCATATATATATATATATATATGTAAAGCAGTATTACATCTATATCACACATAATGCAATGTTATGCACATATGCATTTATGGCCATATATATCATGCAGTATTGAACATATCTATATATATAATGCAGTATTATATCTTTGTCACACATAATGCATTAATGACCGTAGATAACAAACATGCAGTATTGAACACACACACATACACACACAGAGACACACAGAGAACATATATATATATATATATATATAAGGCAGTATTTTATATTTGTCACACATAATGCAAAGTAATGCATATATCATGAATTAATGCACTTATATATCATGCAGCATTACAGCTTTCTGGCATTCGTTATGCATTCTAATTCAACTTGGTATGTAACACGAGTTCTGATTGGTCAATGCTATAAATTTCCGACCGTATAATCAGCATATACGGTCGCAATTTGAAAACCGATTCACCGAAACCTTTGAATGTATCCCTACACAATGTGGGTAACGCTGTTTCACAGGACATTGTCATTTGCAGAAGCCATTGGTCAATTAACTCCCCTATCCAGCTAAAATGGGTGGAATTTGTGTTAAAAAAGACAAAACAGTATCATAAATTTAATTATAAGTTCAAACAACTTACTCGCAACGGGCTGTTGACCCAACACTGTTAGATCATGAAACAAGGTTTATGACGTCATTATGGAGCATGACGTCACCTGCTATGACGTCATTTGACAACAGAACTGATAATGGCCCGTAGTTGAGGAATCAGCGGCCGCTCATTTCTGTAACTAGAGGGCGGTTTCATCATAATACCGTCCATTTTATTTATAATACTATGATCTATTCACCATTGTAAAATTTAGTCTGTGTGCACATAATAAACGTGTGTAGTTTGAAAAGGGAACTACTTTCTCTGGCGATGGTGTAAGTTGAAGGAGTGATATGATTCACCTTTGACCTAGAGGAACTTTGACCTGGTTTAAATAATGAATTTCTTTCACGAAAAAACAGCGTAAAACGAGTTGAATTAGAATGGGGATAACTGTACTCGCGTCGCCGATATAACGTTAAATTTGCGGCTATATAACCACCGGTATACGTCCCCAATTCGTCAAACACAGTACAGTTATCCCCTAAGTATCATGCAGGATATATTCTGTTGGTTTCCTTATACATAGCTACCAGCTGAGCAGGACATGGTACCATTTCCTTTTGTATACTTTTCACCACTATTTTGCCTTTTGTCCCCTATGGCTTCTGTTTCATCAGATATTCAAGACTGGTGTTATTGTTATATAATATATATCATGAATATGGTACCTCTCAGCCCGTATCACATGTCTAGCATACAGAACATGGCTCATAAAACATGTTTATCAACCAGTTACCTTGGCACATATATACAATATCACACATCATTGTATGTATATGTTGACACATTTCACTGTATATATCTTGAGGGGGCGGTGGGGCAGCCTAATGGTTAAAGCGTTGGCTCGTCACGCTGAAGACCCGGGTTCGAATCCCCACATGGGTACAATGTGTGAAACCCATTTCTGGTGTCCCCCGCCGTGATGTTGCTGGAATATTGCTAAAAGCGGCGTAAAACCAAACTCAGTCAGTCAGTATATATCTTGAGCATTGCAAGTGTATCATGTCTCACATGTACAATGAAGCATTTCATGTGTATATATGCAGTATCAAATTCCTGTCATTTTCACATCAGGTGCTATAACTTCTGGTATACCTTTCAAACATGCACTCAGTTAATCCCTAAGTTACAACTCTGTTTTTGTTTAAAACCCTACAAACACATCCCGAATACTTGTTGATGAAACATTTCATGATAAGGATGTTGTTCACAGAAGTTCCTTGCCTTTAAAAAATCCTTTAGATGAAATAACCATTTCACTAACAGTAATTACTAAAGACCTATACCTTGCTATGTGCTTATTAACCATCTGTGATAATTTAATCTACCAGGCTTAGAAAGATTTGCGCTGAAGTAATCCATGGGCACATTTTTTTCTCATTGAGTATATAAGCCCTGAAATACAAATCAAGTCAACTGTGAATAACGATGAAGAAATACTTTCATCACTAATTTGGTAGGTAATTTGTTTATTTTTATTTGCAGAGTGGCTTGTAGGAGTGCCAATCATTTCTCCCGGTTCACCAAGTGTAGAAATGCAAGTTCCGATTCAACGATTTTCCATTTAATGGGAAAAACAATGTGGAAAACTATATTTTGAGCTGTATTGGATTCCTTGATTTTACAATTATTTGGGCACAGATGGTGATCTGAGAGATGCTGTGACATTAGGGTTAAAACACACTGATAATGACCATCATAACGGAATACTTCATTTCTTAAAAATGTTTCGTGTAATATTACAAGAACTCAATTTAGTTTCTTTTTGTACAGAATGGGAATATTCCTGGTATTTCAGTATCAGGTTTCTGTTGTTGTTGAGCAATATATTATATCAGCTGCTGTGAGTCCCGCTGTTGTGTTGTATTACATACCTCATGACAGGTATTATTGATGCTATTCATTTCTTTTTTTACAGAATGTTGCTCTGCTTGCTGCAAAAATGTTGTAATATGCTTAGAATTCTCATGATATGTAAAACAACATGAACTCTTCATGCTGTAGTAGCTCAGTGTTAAGTGCCTCTGTCTGACTTTCAGTTTCTTGACCAGGGCCTAGATTTTCGAAGCTCTCTTAGCGCTAAGATAGTCGTAAGTGCTATACATTAACATTAACTTACGATTATCTTAGCGCTAAGAGAGCTTCGAACATCTAGGCCCTGGTTCTAGTCTTCTTGCTGTCAAATTACCATCTCAGTGAATTATTCAATGCTGGCTAAAACTTAAACTATTCACACTGCACTCAACAATGTTCAAGGTATGTAGTAGTTGGCTTCACATGATAAAATCTTTACTAGACAGTCCAGTGTTTAAGATTATGAGCATATTCACCAATGCTGTCCATAAAATCCATTTAGACTTCTTTTACCAAAGTAGGTGAGAGCTATTCAATGCTGGAACCTCCAAAATTGGCTGTTGAGTGGGTGAGTGAGTCAGTTTAGTTTTATGCCGCACTCAGCAATATTCCAGCTATATGGCGGCGGTCTGTAAATAATCGAGTCTGGACCAGACAATGCAGTGATCAACAGTGATCTGTGCAATTGGGAACCAATGACGTGTCCACCAAGCCAGCGAGCCTGACCACCCGATCCCGTTAGTCTTTTATGAAAAACATGGCTGTTGAGAGGGTTTGTGAATGTTTGTTTTTTGTTTAATTGTTTGTTATTTAATGTTGCACTGACGGCAGCACTCAGCAACTATATGATGGGGACAGTCAGTCTTGACCAGACAATCCAGTGACTGACGTTATGAGACACAATTGGGGTACAATGACATCAGCCAAAACACCAAGCCTGACCATCCATTCCTGTTAGTCATTTCTTACAACAAGCATGGGTTACTGAAGACCAATTCTAACCCAGGGGTGTTGTTTGTGAATGAATATGGAGATTGATTGATACACAGTCAGCCTTGCCACGCAGTCAACATTACATTCTAGCTTTAGCTCATCCTCTATTAAAATAGTCTAGTGCCAAATGAAAACCTGCATTCACTCACCTCTGTTGCCAAAATTATTGTCTGAAAACCTGAAAACAGAGTCCTTTCTCATTCAAACATTTTAGTTAAAAGCTGTGGTCAATATTTAGCAACATGTATGTTGACCAACAAGCATTTCCGTGCTTCACTGATTCAAATGTATACATATTTTATAGTGTACTTTTAAATTTAGTTTCAAACTGTAAAACTACTAAAAAATGAATCTAGGGCCCAATATTTCATATTTCGAATACATTTACAAAATATGTCTTTCACTTCTAAATGAGGCCAATAGAGAAGTACAAATAACTCTTTGGGCATAATGTTTGAAAACTATTGCTCTATTCCACTTAACTAAAAATACTTTTGAAAAACATCGTTTGCTATTGTGTTTTGGTAGAATATCTGTAAACCACTCCAATTACCATAAGCATCGATACCCAAGATCTGGAGACAATGTCTTGTAGTAATTAATCCTGGGTTCTAATGGAATATACAGCCCAGTGTCTATCAAACTTCTGACAATTCTGCCCAACACTAATGAAATAATGGCCAAGTAGAGCTGTTTCTCCCTCCCATAACTACAGAGAACCAAGGATGGAAACCTGATACTCATTGATCCAAAAATACATGTATACAGCTTCTCCCTCCCCATCCCTCCCCCCATGACCCCACCCATCCCTCCCTCAAGCATCAGGACAATGTCAAGCCAGGTATAAATCTTCATGTTTCGAAAATCATTTCCACTACTCCGAATGAAGCTGGTAGTATAAACTTCTAGATGATAGGTGCTTCCATCAGGATAATTACAGGATCAGGTTTGTGGAGAAGAATGATTCACAATGTCGTTTGTATGCTACAGTTGTGATGGTCTCGGTTTAAAGCAGAATTATTCAGCTAATTAAAACATGAGACCGTTCTGATCATTTCTCTCCTTAAATTGATATATTTTTGAGATTCAAGATCATATGTTCTGTTCTGCAGTCTCATGACTTGCTTTGGAATTGTTTTCATTTTAATATTTTTTCATGAGATTTTATGAGGTTTTGTCTAAATGTTAAATGTCAATCGTCTTTGGATATCAGAAGGGTCAACTTGAACAAATGTCTTGATTTTCGGAGCCAAAGGTGAATTTAATCACTCAACATTATTCAGTCTCTCTCATACTGTCTATTATATTACACAATCAAAATAATATTTGAAAAAGAATTTTCAAAGAATTATTGCCTTCAAATCATCTTCTTGAAAATATTATCAAAAAGAATAAAAAGTGCTACAATGGGAATATCAATTTATATTCTTGTGTGTGTAAAACTCATTGACATTGTTTTTCCTTAATAAATATAAATATGATTTTTACACTTTTGAGTTCAGACCAACATTTTTAAACAATATGACAATAGAACATTGAATACTTGTCATAGCATGTCCAGATTTCAATTCAAATACCCTGAAAATATTTGACAAAAAATACAAACTTGATATTAGGGATGTTATCAAATTTTCAAAATTGTTTAAAATAAATAATCTGACCAAAATATCATTTTGAAAGATGAGAACGTTTCACCTCAGCTGCGAGTGACACTTTGGACAATACAACGTATCAATACAACTGGATTATCACAGAGCCTTGTGCTCAGTTTCAGAGCAAATCCATTCATCCTTTGTCTATGAGAGCCTTAGGGCAACGAGGTCCATTCCAAATATTATCTCAGTCGGGTTCCCGTGTCTATCTGCTAAGAACTACTATAGGCCCTAATTTGCACTTAAGCTAGACCAAACTGATTGGAAGCCCAAAGCCTCATGCAATATTTATTATTAAGGGATAATCAATCAAGTTAAATATTTCATCCCTGACTGGCATTATGATGTTCTACAATTACCTATTGACAACTCCCGGAAGTAATTGCCAATTGTACCTTGAGCGGTCACATGATGAGGCGGTGATATTGTCGCTCTTGACTCAGATGCCAAGTCAGCCAAGCGAGACGTGCTCCGGTGCAGCTAAAGTATCCCTCATGAGTCATGAACATCCAGCTATGGCTGATTGCCTGAAATCCTGTCATTCTGCAAAATTAATGACCAAAAATGATAAATGAAAAAATGGTCTCTTTTATTTCATGGCTGGCGGTTGTCATTGACCTAATTTGGTCCAAAGTGTCAATTTTGTACTGATATTAATAACATTAGCTTCAATCAGTTTTGGTCTCTCGTCTACGTCGTTATAACAGTTTGAAATTGACCACTTCCTTGATTGCAGTCTCCTCCATTTCAGGTTAATTATAATTATTAATACCATCTTTGGCTGCTATAACTGACAATACCATGTGTATTCATACATACTTGTTGTTTTAAAATATTAACAAAGTTCGATCAGTTCATTGTGTCAATTAGTTCCGTTAATGAAATAAATGTTATACTTTGTTGACACTCACATACATTTCATATTCTGTTGAGTTAATACATATCAAACTATTATTCCACACAAAAGTTCCATGAGATCAGATAAAATCTAGTTATTGCAAATCGTCTATATTAAACTTCCGACAGACAATAAATCTTGTAACAGCCTGGCAGCTGATTAATCCTGTGTATATGCATGCGTGTCCATGAACATGATAATGACGAGGCATGAGTTGAAATTTACGTGCATTATGGATGTTATCACACATCTGGGATGGAAATTTACATATTATCTACACAGTTTAGATTGCATTTGCATTGAACTGACAATAGAGTATATCTGGTTCATATGAAATGTGCAAAGGCAGCTTGGATGAAGTTAATGCTACACCTTTATCAAATGACTCATGAATGACACATTGTCTATTACAGTTTCAGTCAGTTACTAATCATACTTACTGAATCGTACGCAATATTTGATGAGCTAAGTGTGAACTTGTATCAGCTGGCGATTTAAAGGTGCCTGGCTCTGAGGGTGTGGGTTCAAATCCTGGATGGGACTCAACCCGACAAAAGTACTAGAATCTGTACTTTATTGACAAAGTGTAATCCCAAATATAACATGTGTTACAGCTGTTGACATAGTTGGCAGTTCTGTCAACACCTGATTGTTTACTGTGCATGGAATCGTTATAAAACAATCATCAGTATTGATTTAGTATTGATGAATTATCATATCTGTCGTGTATGTCCCGCTGCTAACTGTCTTATCAGTCACTAGTGACTAATAACATGAAAACATGCTGTCATCGTGACTAACAACGTGTTATGACCGATTGATTGCTGACAGCATTGGTACATGCATATACTAAATAGAAGTTATAGAGCACTGAATGTTTTACATATGTCTACGGTAATCAGTCACATCTAGAGACATGAAAATATAAGGTGTTCTATGACTTCGGGTCAGTCTTAAAGTTTCTTCTGAAACAAGGGGCGGTGGGGTCCCCACATGGGGGTAGCCTAGTGGTGAAAGCATTCGCTCGTCACATTGAAGACCCATGTTCGAATCCCACATGGGTTCAATGCGGGGACACCAGAAATGAAGCTTCACACATTAATACCCAAAGTGCATTTCTAGTGTTCCTCGCCAAAATATTACATATGTAATATGAAAAGATACAAAACTAAACTCATTCACTCACTCACTCTTCTGAAACAAGCTGTTAGTTTGAGACTAAACACACACATCTACAAGTTTAATGAATATGACTGACTGACTGAGTTTAGTTTTAAAATCCGCTTTTAGCAATATTCCAGCCTGTATAGCTATATAATATCAGGGCGGCAATGAATATGAAGTTTTCCCTTAAATGATAAATATGAAGAATGATGAAAAGAAACAAACATTCTGTGAGATACTGGTGAGAAAGTACTGAGCTACTTATAGAGAATACTACAAGAGATCTCATTACATACGAATTATACGAAACGAGTGTCCTTCCTATGGTATCTGACCGAGCGAAAGCGAGTGTCGTATAATTCGTATGTTATGAGACCGAGTGTGGTATTTTATTTATTACCCATGTCTTACATGCATTAAATTGACAAAATAGCGTATTTTTGTTATTGTTATGGTTTCAAACCGAAACCGGTTTCATAAAGAGGTTGCGGAAGAATGTTGTTCTGTAGTACACTTTTTGCATGACGTCACACTGTAATGACGTCACTATGCCTTGCTCGTCTGCCCCCTTGGTAACCGACATCACGATGCATGTCATTTGTCATCGCCTCGTACAGCCTCCTGCATTAAACTACTCTGTAGCACCCCGTTTCTTGGTTTGCGGTTGCTTCACTCGGCTAACCTCACTGGTGAAAACTTTGAGTTTATGTTTTTCGATGCATATAATGCCTCAGTTCGACTCTCAATTAAACAGCGATATGGCAACGTTCGCAATGTTTACATTCCCACAATGCATATAAGTTGTAGTAGAATGAATGAATTCACGTGTTTGTTATGAATGAAAAAGTAGTTCCGTGACAACGTGACTTATATGAGTGGTCATCGGTTATCCAATCAAATCGCTAGAATCTCAGGTCAAGTTGTTACGACACAGGTCAACGCGATACGACACTCGTGTAACGTACGAGATTAGTATGCAACTACCCATACGTTGGGTAATAAAAAGCATTATGACTGCTGAGATACATTATGATTGCCAAGAGCCACAAAGTTTGTTATGTGGTATTCTTGAGAAACATCAGAATTATTACTTTGATGACAGGGGTATTCTGTCTTGATACTTCTGTGATATTGTGAAACTGCATTAATAACTATATTAATAACTATGGACCATATTTTGTAAGTTGCTGTACTGGTACCAAATCACATCACCATTCCAAGAACTTTTGGAACCATTAACAAAAAAATCATGGTTGTTGAATAACAACATATTCCATCACACATGGATAATCTAAACATTATCAGCTTTCAATCATATGTTCCATAACTCAATTCATGAAATCAAATTATTTGGCCAAGCTATTGCTTGAAGGGGAATAACTCTAGTTTGTGATTAGGCGCCAATGGCAACAATCAATAAACTGCGAAACAATTTCCCTCTACAAAATCGTAACAGAAGAGAAACTGATTGTTCGTTGTTTACCGGAATCAATGTCATGGTGATTGAATGCCACGATATGCATGATCTCACCTGGCATGCCTTTAGCTGACTCAGGTGACAACTAATTATTGGTAATGTCGATGGCAAATTGATGAGCATACATGTCACAGTTGTAATTTATGCAGCGCAAGAATGAATTCAGGGGTTAGTCATTGAGTGTGTCATAACCGCACTAGAATTACCAATTTTGGTCAAAGTCTTTTGCGAGAGAAATTGGTGATTAATATTGCCATGAGCTATCTGATTAGAATCAATATTGGCCGATGACTGTTTGTCGCGTTGATCTCTAATATTCAGAAATGTCAGAAACTGTAAGGATATTGGTTTAGTACAGGCTCTTTATTTTGGACGAAAAGAATATTTGAGGTGGAAGAGAAATGTAAACAATTATTTTTCTTTTAAAATATTAACATCAGTTTGAAATTTGTATCTACCTTGTCCAATAATTTCTCTCTGTCAACTAATATAATCATCATAATCAACAACAAATCATTAGTGGTTCATCAGGTATCTACATATGCAATCCACCTACAAATATATTAGCATCTGTTAAGACAGATACTAACCTCCAATAATCCATGTACATGACCAAATATACACCGATCTAAAACTTTTCTGGCCCAGCCATTCATCCAATTACGTATTCATCTTCTTGTCTGACTTTTCATCTGCTTAACAATTTGCTGATGCTAACATTCATTCACTAATTTGACCACCTGATAATCCCAGCATCTGTACCTTGACCAACAAAACTTCTGACACAAACTCTCAAACATCTACCAGTCTATCAGTTGAGTCACTCATACATCTACTGATCTAGTGATTCAGTCACTCATACATCTACTGATCTATCAGTTGAGTCTCTCATACATCTACTGATCTGTTGTTTCAGTCACTCATACATCTACTGATCTATTAGTTGAGTCTCTCATACATCTACTCATCTATCAGTTGAGTCTCTCATACATCTACTGATCTGTTGTTTCAGTCACTCATACATCTACTGATCTATTAGTTGAGTCTCTCATACATCTACTCATCTATCAGTTGAGTCGGTCATACATCTACTGATCTATCAGTTGAGTCACTCATACATCTACTGATCTATTGAATCAGTCACTCATACATCTACTAATCTATTGATTCAGTCACTCATACATCTACTAATCTATTGATTCAGTCACTCATACATCTACTAATCTATTGATTCAGTCACTCATACATCTACTCATCTATTGATTCAGTCACTCATACATCTACTAATCTATTGATTCAGTCACTCATACATCTACTCATCTATTCAAGTTCATACATCTACTAATCCACTATCTTCAATCTACTACTCCAAAATGTACTCATCCACTATCATTAAAACTAACTGTTTATACATCTACAAATCAATCAATCTGAAATCTACTGAAAATCTAATCGAAGAATGCAGGCATCTAAAAATCTACGAATCCAATATCAACTAATATTTAACTGTCATATGTTTCTATCACCTGCTTATAGAACAATAAACTCTGTATCTATCTACATTGTATAAACATACTGACTAGTCCTTGTATTTCCATTGCAAGCAGTGGTGTGTGAAGTGGTTATAGTGTTTGCTCATCACACCGAAGGCCGAGTTCAATTCCCACATGAATGCAGTATGTGAAGCCCATCTCTCATCTCCCATACTGTGATATTGCTGGAATATTACAAACAGCATCAAACCTCAAACACTCAAGCCAGCCAGTTGCAATATTAATCTATCCATTGACAGATGTACAATTATTAAACTGAAATATGAAATAGATGTATATGAGTTTAATGTCAATTTGCATTCAACAAAAAGTAGAAATTTGTTATGTGTGATTGCATTTTACACTCTATCAACATCAAAGGTGAAACTGATGTAGTTTATATTCTTCATAATTTCACCATTTGCATAAATTGATGTACTTTATCCACATCTCTAGAGTAATCATATATCAGGACTCAATTATTATGGTAATGTCGGCTGGAATTCAATATTAATATGGAAAAATATGAATTTCAGAACAATTCTTTAAATTTGTGTATTACACAATGGTTTAACTCTGCCAAAATCAATTAAGTAATTTAGTCAGCGGTATATAGAGAAATTGTGACTCATATGCAATAGATTAGTGTCCATGTAAGACATTAATTAATGTTCACGCAGATGAATTAACAATTTAGGCTAAATTTTTCCCAAATTGTTTATGTGAAAAGTACTTTCTTTGTATGTAATCTCGCTTTGAACATAACAGTATGACATGGAATTCTGAAGATGGAGCAGACAATGAAACCATTCCAGGATCAATTCGCTGCATATATTTTACATGTATATTATTTTACATGCAGATGTTTTACATGCAGATATTTTATACGCAGATATTTTACATGCAGATGTTTTGGTGACAAAATACCTACATTTGAAATCATCATATTTTTAAAATAAGATCGCATAATCATATTCGAATCCCAGACTGCAATATTGTCAGCATTCGAAATACCTGCCTGCCTGACTGCCCGGGACGGGTTATTTTCAACACGGACTGCCAGATTCTCAAATTCACCTGCCCGATGGTCGGGTTAAAATTTCAACATCTATATGAATATATTTTGTGGGCAGGTAAGTTTTGGTCAGGGCTGGCAAGTTTGACATCTAACCAGCCATGTGGTCTGACTGAAATTTATGGGAGTTTCACACCCTGATATTGTGTAAACAATTGCTACAATTCACTGAAACACTTCCAAATTTTTTAAGTCAATTTACCTGATGACACTAATGATGTAGATTTCATGTTGATTGACAGCACCAGAGTGTTCATTGCATCACAGATGCTGCTGTATATCCCCCTCGGTTGATATCATTGATTACATTTGCATATCACAC